ATGGACGTCGAGTTTGAGGATTTCGTGGTCTTTCGATCACCTGCTCACCTGCCAACTCGTAACGTCATGCACCAAGAGCAAACAATTCGCTCTAGTAAACCTTGCTCGAGCTTTAAAGAAAACTAAGCACAGGAGAAGCCCAAGTGCGTATCCTTGCAGTAGGCCGAAGTCCTCTCGTGTCGCATCGGACAAAGATGCACGGACACTAATATAAAATTGCCATTCGCAGGGAAAGTTATTGATCCAAACCAACATCGAATCTTTAGGGTCATAGTGCTTTCGTTTGGAAAGAATGATGTGGTTTCCCAAGCACTCGAAAGCTTTCGATAAGTCAAACTAGTTAACGTCCATTCATGCCCGTCCCCGACTGCTTCGGTCTAGTTATCGCGTTTTATCAACAAGTTCGTGGTATGTGATCGATGTTGACGATAGCCGTGTTGATCCGGCGCAATTATGCTTTAGCGTTAAAAGTAGCCCGTCTCTGCGTCTGCAGTTATCGCCTCCATGACCTTGGAGAGCACATGCTACCAAGCAGTAATTCACAGACTCAAAACGACTTCTCCACATGAATATTGAGGATATTACCCCGTTTTCACTTCGACGGGACTGTGTATTGTTCAAGGCAACGCTAAAGTAACCCAGCTAGTGGTTTGTCTAAGCGCATGGCTACTACCTGCAGTGGTTTAGAGTTAATTTTCAACCAATCTTGGAGAGCTTTGTGTACACATTTAACCTAACTTCTACAGCACAGTTGCTACGGTGATTGTAACACTAAATATGCCCTAAAGTGATGGAAGCAGGGGTAACGTTATAGGCTTGTATCCCTTGGAAAATAAGCGAGTGGAGGACTCGTACGAAGCTGGCGGCCTCTCTGGGTGTGTGTGCACCCACTAATCTTAGTGACGAGTGAGATTACACGCTGCACCTTGCAAAGTCTATTGACGTGTTTGTACACAAGCTAGTGGTGATGACAGAATCGTTTCACCAGCTCCCGTTGGTGCATTCGCCTGTCATCATGGACCATGTAAACACAGTAGTAACATTGAGCTACGTACTCTATCCTATTTTTGTAAGTGGAAGTATTTTTGTAAACGCGCCATGCCCGATCCCTCGACGCCGTATGTGTTCGTGTTCGAGTTCTCAGAAAGGATTGTTGTTTGAGAGGACGATGGCTTTGATGCTTTTGGACTAATGATGCAATGGGTTTTAGGAAAATTTCTCAGGCTATCTGTGAGGCGCACCCAATTAAAACTGGTATTTTCACCGAATGCGGATAATGTGTGCCAATACATTATACATTGCAGCATTTCAGGTTCTGATACGAGATATCTGGTGTAGTGGACGTATTCGAACTGTAGTGACACATGAACGCTTCGGGCCATTTGACTGCATGTATCTGGCCCACCAAACATAAGCTCCTCGCTGGTGGACACTAGGTCTAACATCGATGCGTTATTCGCTGTTCTGAACCTGGTGCAATAGTTGACTTTATTTTGTAATGGTGCACGGCAGAATATCTCTAGCAGGTGGACTTTAAACTGTTTCCTCTCGGTTGCTAGATTTTCTAGCCCATTGGCATTGAAACCTCCTGTGATGAGGAGATGGCTGTAAATTTTATTTATCAAAATGCGCAAAGCCGATACAAGTCCGTGGTCTATTTCCGGAGTATATTTGGGCAGTCTATAATCTACGGGCACAAATCACATTCCGCCGCCCGCCAGCCATAGCTACCACCAAAAGAAATCTGTGCCACGTGTTTGGAGATCATCTAGGAGTTCACAGGGAAGGTGTGTTTTATATCAAACGAGCAATCCCCTTTCACTGCTTGTTCTGTCGTTCCGCAGAACTGACATACAGTGTAGAATGCTCTCAACCTTAGTAGTCTCAGAGAAGTCCCAGTTATCATTACTATAAATCAGGGCTCGGAATGTTGAGGATGACGGAGTTCGACCAATTTACGAATGAGAACTTGTGCGTTAGTGTACAAGCAGGAGAGCTTCTTCGTGACTGCAATTGGGCTGCTGAATGGAGAAATAAGAAAGTTTTGACCATTGGGTATGTAAATAAATAAATAATTCTTTCTGCATAGAACGAGGAACACTGGCATTTTCTTGTAGAGCCGTTGGTCATTTAGATTCGGTTGGGTCGGATGACTGCTCATGATTGTCCGGGCCCTATGGTCACTCGTATTTAGTTGTATGCTGTCGCATGCTGAGGTTGTCATTCAATCAATGATTTTGCAGATCTGTATGAGAGTAAGATTCACCAATTTGGCCGCCGACATTTAGTCATCAGTTACCCGCGACAATTCACTAGCCATAATGATGGGTTAATACCTAGAGCTGTGTATGGTTAACCCGTTTAAGGCGGGCAATTTTATGACTTACGCCGACTCTGTTTAACAGCACAACAATGAACTCCCTCACAGACATGCTAGATGAAATGGTAGAGGGTTTCTTGCCAGCATCGTGTATGAAACAAGTACCGATGTTACTTAGCCAAATACTTTAGTTAGAAGAGAACAAGTGTTTCACCTGCCGAAGTTTACAATGACATTAAAGTGTCCGTTAAAAAAGGTGTGGATAAACTAATTCCAGCCGACTTGAAATCCGCAGTAGCAAAAGTTAACCACGCAGCGCAACCCTTACTGTTATACATGACGCACACTTTCAAGTTCTTGGCTAAACATCCCTTATCACAGTCTATTACTTCATCAATATTGTACCAATTTACATGTAAATGGAATCCAAATTTCATGATCATGATAAAGCACCTGTTGCAGGGTAGAATCGCGGGGGATAATCCAGTTTGGGTTAGGTACCACATTCCAAACATGTTCTTTCCACCCATCATGTACGCAGCCGAGCATGACAGACTCTCTGTCGAAAAAGCCGCCTTCATCATCAATCATCAGGCATCTAATAACAGACAAACATTTTCCGGACCTCATGCATATGTTCAGTGTGATATAGTGGTAATTAGCAGTCATGATCTGCGATGCGCTGAAGCGATCGCGATCAAACTGCTTTAGGCCACTATGTGCATGCAGAAGATCGCGTGTGTCCCATTGACTCTATTGAGTAGAAAGATAATGAACTGAAAAACCACCTGTGCATGTGTTTGTGTAAACATCTTGATAAATTTGCTACATCAATTATATTAAATATTCACGCGTCCCGTAGCATGATCGTAGCAATATGCTGATAATTTAGTCCGGTAAAAATCGTGCGATAACCTGTTGTTAGTTGTATTGATAAAAAATCTGCATTGTAAAAATAAAGTTCCTTTAAACAATCTCTTAAGTATATTTCATGTAAATGCCAAGGATTGGTTTAACAGATATACAATGCTTGGTCAAATTCCATAGCAGCTTTTAGAGTATCGAAATAGTTTAGAGCAAACGACTACATGTCCAGAGTATTGCGGCGAATGCGGTACGCTTCTTCTTACTATACGTATGCAAGTTATCATTGGTAAATGGCACTGCATATTCGACAAATCTTGAGGTCACTTACCATTTTCTCAAAATAGCCAACAACCAGCTGCTTTTTCGTTCAGATAAATGATGCCACAACTTATCAGGTGCCTTGTGAACATAAACGAAACGAGCGTTCCAAATTATGAAGTCACAGTACTAACAAGCATTACGGATCTCAATTGACGTCTAAATAATTATTCAAAAATATGCACTTAATTTTTAAGTTGTTATATAGGTGTACCTCCGTTATTTCTCTTATTTTTAAGTGTAAGTTGAAAATTTGTTTACATGTATAACATATTTATTTGTTCAAAAATTAAACGTTAACAGGACTAATTCAATGTCGATCATTACAAACAGACTCAAAATTATTTAAATTTCCCTGAGAACTAATGTGTTGGGTGTCAGTTCAACTTTCCTTAGCGAAAAGTAAAGATATTTACTTAAAGTGTGTTTGAAACACTTTGGCGAAGCAAATATTAAATGGATAATTACGGTATCCCAAGTTACCAACTGAATGCGGTATAGTATTGCATCAAGAAAACTGTCGAATGATATTCCCAAAGAAGTTCCCAGACGACAAAGCAAACTGACCTTATATACTCGTAAAAAGTTCGAACACTATATTAACAATAATATATTTATAATGCTCAAATGCATAGTAGTCTTGAACCTTTGCGGTACATTGTGTGTCATTCCAGATAACATCAAGTTGCAGTAATATACCTGATATATGCTTCGCCAACGATTAATAATCCTGTAGTGTTGCAATCCCTTTTTCAGGTGTTCTAACATCCGAATTTTTTACCTTGTGGCCGACACTCTTTTGAAAACTAAAGCGCGAATTTTGCATTTGCAAATAAGCCTAACGTTGGACAATCGCATTTCATACATTTCCTGCAAAATACTAAATAATAATCCTACAAATTAAGTGCACACCAACACACTACACTCTCTATGGGCTCGCAGCAAACGCGCCAGATTGGCCGCTGTCATTTTGCGCCAAAAGCTCTATCTTCTTATTACTGTTATCATGCGCACGAAGACATTTTGCAATGTGCTGCTGCGTACGGGATTTGTTGTCCAAAGAATTTTATAAATATTGTCAAAATTTGGTCCCTGTTACTCTCTTACCGGTAAACACTTATTATGCTAAGTAACATCGTGTCGCATTTTATTCAGAACAAATGTTTATTTGCTTGTGTATTTTACAAAATTTGATGCGGTTTCACTGCATATGCTTCAGATTTTTCTCATAAGCTTATCGTGTACCTCTATGCATATGTACGGATATTTGATATACATTTTAACCATCCACGCTGTATTCCCTTGGGTTAATATACATATCAATTAGAAAATTACCATAATTGGCGCATGCTGATTTTATTTTAAAGCCTACATTTTATGAGGTGATAAAATTAATGTAAGCGGATTTTTCAATCTGTTTATGAATACCCTCCCGGATGCTGGATATGAAAACTGTTTGGAACAATAAACAGCCAGTTTGCGGTTTACTTTTCAGACGCTCCGGTAGTCAGTATACAGATACGGCCCCAACGTCATGAAAACGAGTACATGGAGCACGACATCATCACAGCAGAATGTACAGCACATGGTCGACCGGATTCCTTCACCTGGGAGTGAGTTTTTTTGTTATTTATCTGCACTTGTTATACAAAATGTATTTACTAGACAATACGGTTAAACATTGTTTTCTTACTGCGTAAAAGTACATCGGATGCGAAATTATGTGGAAACTAATACCCTACGTTTACCAACTAACGCAAACACAAAAATACATTCCTCGTGTGTATAAGATGCATTGTTGCCTGCTACAGTTGCGTATGCATAATATCATTCATTTCGGCGTAGCAAAATATATGGCACATTTCATCTCTTGCGCCGGAAGTCTATATACTTTTTTGAAGCGATCGTCGATTTTACTAGAATTCGTAAAAACCATGGCAATGCTTTACCCTGTACAACTTGTAGATTCTATGCAGTCACGGCGAATTGCATGTAACATTCCGCTACTCAATTTTACTACCGACTTCAGTGAAAGGGTGGCGGGCAATCAGCTGGTAGTCAATACCTGTTTTATGCTGTAGCATACTGATTTGAAGGTATCGTCAAATGCTAGTGGTCACGTTTAACATATGCATCAGTACAACGGAAATCCAGATGTAAGTCACAAATCGGACAGCATTTCACCAATCCGTCAGACGAAAAGCTGGTTAAGAATGCCCGTTATAAAATTTCCAATGCGCAAGCATATTTTAATGGTCGTTCAAACTATTGTATTTCTTACTACAGTTACCGACATTTCCATATGTTGTAATATTGGCAAATAATGGGGATCGTATACGAAGACTCACTTTTTCCCAAGCTGTAATTTCCGAATGCCGGTTAGCGCAGTGCAGCACCTGCGATTGATAGGGTAATTGAAAAGAACATCTTTTTAATTAGGTTGTCATTTAGTTGTCAGAATCCTTGTTTTTACCACATACGAAAGGGCTTTATTGAACCCACTCATCAAATTTTACTGTCTTAAATGTATATATATATATTGAACTATATCGCAGATAGATAATACATTAGTTAAGACAATATCATTTTACATTGTTGAGACGTAAAAATCCATATAACGAAATATAGTTTACGTTTATCCAAAAGGTTAATATTAATTTTCAAGTGACTTACCTATATTGCGCCACCTACAAATTACTCTTGACTTCAAGTAGTCGCCTACGTTCTGGCTATCAGGGCGTCGCTGATAAAAAGTTGTTTACACAACAAACAACTTGATAGTTGATAACCGCAGCCCTCTAAATATAGATGTTGTTCTGATAACTCGCCCCTCTTCGAGAGTTCAAGTATTAGTCTTTTGTAATAAATCGCGTCCAAAAGTTTTATAGCGTGTACAAATTACCTTCATTTACCGGAACTTATTTCAACCCAGTGGGAAAATTGTTACAGAGTCGCCAAGCGGTAGAAGCTAGTTCTCTTCAACCTGCGCGAATCAGAGTAACCAAGAAATTTATGGTTAAAAATACGTTATTTTCTGCGTGTCGTAAATGCAGTAAACAGTTTTTAACTGAGATGCCACTGAAAAGATACATATGATGCGAAGTAATGTTTGCTCACCTTGTGTGGTTAGATGCCGTCGTGTTCCCGGATCTGAGCAATGAGTGCATTCAGTTGGCTACTAATGTATGTTACGCTGGATTCTGTTCTCTTCAACAGGGTAACAACTCTTTGCCCCACTTCACCAACACATGTCAGGTAGTCACCTATGACGGGTTTATTTATTGACGAGAACTAACAAAATTAAAGATATATAAGTCGGCTGGACCCGATATATTATCACCACTTGTCCTAAAGCACCATGCAGATTGAGTGGATTGTCTTGTTCTCCGAGCCGGACATTTCTGTTGCAGACGTTCCTTTACCAAACTAGCAACATCTTCAGTGCGGCTATGCAGTCCTGTTTCGCAGTCTCGCAAACCACTGCCAGACCCAAATGACTATTGATCGTTACATGCTTCGAATGTCAGCCATCGGTTGGCCGAGTGATTAGGCCGAGTGATCACGTTTTCTGCTGGTCGATTTCACACATTTTGCTGGCTTCACCCGCAGAGCTTCGTAGACACCCTACAGCTCCAGGTGTTTGTAAATTGCGTTCCGGACAGTGCCAGGCCTCGAGGAATTCACGCGCACTGCGGTTTCTTGCCCTTCCAAAGATTTCGACATTCTGCAGATGGCAATGATGGTCTGCGGCTTCTATGTATACTGACATTAAAAATTTCTCATCGTGGGGGCGGATGACCAGACTATGTTTGTGCAGTCTTGTGCCAAGTTTTCTTCTAGGCTGGCCTACATAGTATGTATCACAGTTCTAGCATAAACTTTTGCTAACTACGCTTATGGGTTTTCTTTACTTCGAATAGTTCCCATTACTTGGTGTGCAAGGAGTGCCCGAGAAATATGTAAATATTATCTAAGCATTATATGCCCGTAGAACTGGCAGAGTGAGGGCTTACGGCAAGCTGTCGCCAACCTTTAATATCTCCAGCGGTGTGAGACAAGGATGCCCGCTGTCACCTTTCCTATCCAACTTCGCTATTGACGAAGTCATGGAGTTTGCATTTACAGGACATGAATTGGAAGGTGTGGAGCTACTCCCAGGAGAACGACTTCTTGAGTTGGAGTATGCAGACGACATTGCCCTCATCTGTGACAGCTCCGAGACGTGCCAAGCCGTGATGGACAGATTAGCGCTGGCTGTCAGCCGCTTCGAGCTTTGCTTTGCACCATCGAAGTGCAATCCGTTCCTCCAAGATTGGCAGGGATCGCCTCCTGCGCTGACCCTTGTTGGCGATCAGCTAGAAGTCGTTCGGAAATTCAATTACCTGGGAAGTTGTATCAGCGCCCTTGGGATCGAAGACGAGATCACGAACCGTATAGCGAAAGCTCGAAGTGCTTTTGCTAAACTTCGCCACCTATGGCGGCGGCGCGACATCACTCTCGCCCTGAAGGGTAGAGTGTACAATGCAGCGGTACGTTCGACCTTACTGTACGGTTGCGAAACCTGGCCCCTAAGGTCTGCGGACATGAATAGGCTAGTTACGTTCGACCACCGGTGCCTTCGCAGTTTGGCTCACATCTGGTGGGAACACCGCGTGAGCAAAGAGCGGGTTCGACGCATTGTTTATAACACGGGAAAAGGAACTGTACCGCTCAGCACCGTTATTTCACTCATCAGGCTCCGATGGCTCGGGCACGTGTTACGCATGCCAGCCCACCGACTCCCGTGACGCGTGTTGTTTGCGCGCTGGGAGTGTGGATGGAAGAAGAGGAGGGGTGGCCAAGTGATGACTTGGTCCAGGGGAATGAAGTCCCTCATTTCGGAGCTAGCCTCGGTTGGAACGCCACGGCTCTCTGGTTGGGGTCAGAAAGACTATGAACACGTTTGGCTGGATACACTTGCTGACATGGCAAGGAGCCGACCTCAGTGGCGTTCGTGCGGTGAGTTTCTTTGTCCCTTCCCATCCCTTCTAGCCTCCCCCTCCATCTATGATCTCATTTCCTAGGGTAAAACATAATAATTTTTTTCTTTTTGCCTATTAGCTGGCTTGAAGCTTACCGGAACGATGCCTATCCGTTGCTGGTAGCTCACCTGGCATGCAACTGTTGTATCTATTTTTTCGTTGTGTATTGTATTATATGTATATATGTATTTCCTTCAAGTATTGCGGCACAATAGCGGAGGTGTTTTCCCACCTCTAGCTGATGTGTCTAATGATGATGACAAACATTTATCCCGTGAGGCATTTGAAGCCTCGCTGCCATTTCAGAAATCCCATGGATGCAAGGTAGGATAAACATTCCTCTTTCTGTTGCACGTGTGACTCTTCGACCCCAGGCAGCGTTGAATAAAGCTTCTAGGGTACGAATTTCGTTGAAGCATACTATGTACGTGGTGCTCCCCCGCGTTACTTTGTTGCAGCGTGCTACAGTGTGTCTGGGCCCGTTTGAAAAGCTTCTTCAAGCAATTTCGCTTGTATGTGGTCATAAGGTTACTGTGATAGTTTCAGATCTCATCGGTGTGCGTCGCTTTCGGATAAACTGTTGTTTCCAATGACCCAGAATTACGGCTTCTCACAAGCACGTCCAAGAATGACAACTGGTCATTGCTCTCTTCCAATTGGTGAAATGAAGGTCGAAAAATTATTATCGTATATCTGATGTGTTTCTTGTAATCTGGAGCGTTTGAGGATGACAAATGTATAGTCCACATTACGAACCCAAAGTTTGGGCTCCACTATTGGCAAAGCCTTTTGTTCCAAGGCTTGCATCACTGCCTCAAACTCAATGAAGATGTTACCTAGTTTGGTAAAAAGCGTCTGCAACAGAAATGTCCGGCTAGGAGAAAAAGGCACGCCTCTCATCCACAACCCAATTAACAGATATGCTTAATAATTTTAAAACAATTCCGGCGCGATTCGCTAGAATCCGCTCACCGATGGGAGAGCTTTGTTAGCCAGCAATCCTCCAATCACGAGCAACTCTACGTCCTAAGCAATTGTTTGAGAAGTCGTCCTACTACCAATTATGCACCACCGTCCACCCATCAACAATCATTTGGCCTGGAAGATCATAGAACCACATGGACAACGAATGCTACGTCTGTTGATCACGGATGCACACAACCGATGGCAAAAGTATCAATGGGTAATCGACCAACAAATGGCCATAGCCTGTTCAAACTCAGGAACAGTTAACTAGAGGGTCAAGCAGGAACTAAAAGGAAGTTGAACGGAATCTCGCAGCACAAACAGCAAACAAAGAAGACGCATGGATTAAGAATCCATCCAAAAGAACCGCAGCAGATACAGAAAGAGTAATTACTGTGCGATGTTTGCAAGTCAGTCACATAGATTCCTATCCCATTGATTTACATGTTGCACTTGAATCAACGCTGACCACATCAAACTTCGTAGCTGAAGCGCATCATGTAATTAGACACAGCAGCATCACCGTTCGGTGACAAAGTAGAAACCAACATATTCGGTGAAAGCGAATGAAAGGCACTGACAAATCTTAGAAAAGACAAAACTATTATTAAATTACCAGCCGACAA